CAGGAATAATGTCTTTTCTCAAAGGAAGTTTCATTAATTTTTTTCTTCTGAGGGAAATAGGAGGCCCAGGTGCACAAAAGCCTTCAGACTTCTGTGAAGGGCATAGGCCTGTAAGACTCCCTCAGATCCATTTTATAATCCCTTAAATTCATGCTTTCTTATTTGAAAAGCAGCTGAAGGTCAGAGAGCCCCAAGAAACCTCAGAGTTCTGATTTGGGACGTATTCAGAAATGTCTTTTTTAATCACATCCCAGCAGCTATATCCCCACCTCTCTCCTGAGTTCCATGAAGATCTACACAATGCTTCCTTTCAGTTGCCTCCTTTTTGGAGGCCAGTCCCAAAGACAAGCTCCAAGTACACATCCTGGATTACAATGTTCCCTCTGCACAAGAGTATGCCAACATTTTTTGGTCATCCTTTGTAGAGAGGATTACTGAGAGGATAAATAAACAGCTGTTGAGTTGTTTCAGAAGAAATAAATGGCAACTATTTGACAGCAGGACCTTACCCAGGCTTTTTGAACTTGTATGTCAGAGCTTTAAAACAGTAATACAAGTAATCCATAGAGGAAGGAGGTTTTTTTCGTGTCTGGAAACGGCTGTGGCCAAACAAAATTTATGACTGGCAGAGGATTCCTTTCACAAGAGACAGAAAATCCAAACACACTTACATATTTGAGGAAGAGGTGTAATTCTTTGTGGTCTTTGGGACTGATTGTTGCTTCAAACAAAGGTACAAAGATGTTCTCCAACATCTTCCCAAAACTAGGCAGAATATTTTTAGACCTAAATATGTCACTGAAGGGGAAAAAATATACACAGTTGTGACCATTCTTTAATCAGCTTATATTTTCCCTCCACTTTCATATCCTCTGTTATTTGTGTATATTCTACAGCTTCATTTCTACCAGGATTCAGAAATTCAAAGTTTATGTCAGAGAAGGGATAGTCTCTGTGCTCTGTTTCCTGCACTGCCTGCCATTCTGCTTCATACAGGCTCTGTGGGAACTCAAAAGTGCTCCTAAAATAGAGACAGTATGCAGGGGGAGATGCTGTCTCTAGAACAGTGACCCCTTCCATTACAGCAATCCTAGTACTAACTGGGGAGATAAGGAATTACCTGTCACGAAAGATTCTGTTTTCCAAGTTGTAACTACTCCAAATGGAAGTAGAATGTCCTGCTTAGTGATCCTCTCAGAAAAGAGGAACAGTACTTCAGTGTGTCATAAGTGCATGACTTAAAGTATTGACTCTGATGTGCACGTAAGAAAGTGCTATGTAAGAAATTAAAGGAGAGAAACTTTCTCCCTTATGAGAAACACGCTCTGGGGAATATACGCAACCACGACAGCTCCTTCTGTACTCATACTCCAACTATACACCATTTCAAAATGTGAAGCTCAGCTATAAAGGCTGACAAAATTATTGTGGGAGACCATATGACAACATACAGTGTTAGGAACAAAGAACCATTTAATAAAGTCCCAAAGGATCCTTAAAAAACTAAGAAAAACTGATACTGATTTAAGCTTGAAAGTCAGCAATCTGGGCTGCATTTCCATGTTCACTGTCATTTAGACAGCAATCTTGAGGAATTTTGATTGTAACAGTTTGACAGAGCATTTTCTGCTCCTTTATGGAATTCAAGAATTGACTTATTTTCATTACTAAATTGCATTTTAACTTGCCTTTGAATGTAGCTTGATCTCACCCTGTTGTAATTTTCAGTTTTATTATCGTCAGACTTAAAAATAATTCACAGCAGTTTTGAATAGCTTCATAAAGAGTAGATTGAAACCCCATCTCCTGTCTTCTACCCCCAGACTGTCAGAAAAATTACAGCAATGGTGAAGAATAAATTTCCCCAGCTGTTGCTTGTAAATAGAACTACAGGACAGCTCATAAACCATCTTAAAAATATCAAAAATTAAAACAAAATACTGATTTTAATTCAAACTATTAAATTAGCAAGAACTCCTGATTACTTACTAGATTCTCGGAACCTGAATTATCCAGCGCATATTAGGGGAATAAACTTTATGTTTAATGAACCATTTTGCCAAGTTCAGCCATTCATCTGGAGACCGTCCATAAATGGATAAGCGGGGTTCTGTGTACTGGTACTTACTTTCTTCTAGTTCACGGGCTACTTCCTAGTAAGTAATAAATATATTTGTTTTAATATGGACACTGAAGATCATTTACAGCTAGTATTATATTTATCATTGTATCTTTCTCAGACCAGACATAACTGTCATGTCACCCGTTAAAGATAAAGGGAATCTCTCATCTATAAATCTATTATTTTATTTCAGGCAGCTAAATATTCTACTAGCAAGCTATCTCAGATACCATTTGAGTATAGTTAACTGTAACAGCTAGATTTAGAGGACAATATTCTTATGCAATTATTACTAACATGTTTGTAAGACATATGTTTACAAATTGGTGACTCAGAATTATACTATTTAAACTGCAGTAAATGACCACATAAAATATGCAGGCCAATGAAGAATCTGCCCCAGAATCTGTGGCAGTAAGCCATTTCAAGACTATTAATTTTAGACAAGCACTTCTATACATGTAAGAGCTGATATCTCGTTCATAAAAACTGATTTTGTTGGAAGAAATTAATTTGAAGCCCATGCATACATGTGAAGAGACAGATCTACGTGGAGGCGCTTCCCTAGCTCATCCTTCCTAAGCAGCTACCACTAACCAACTACATCCTAGCAGAATGTTGAGACACTGAATTGGCCTTTGGCTGCTCTCCATTAGTTTGAAACAGCACACAACTCTGCTTTCAATGTCTACACATTTCTAAATCATACAATTCTTTAGAAAGCAGCATTGGCTGACTTAGCAGATGTCTGATGAATTGCCCAATACTTGGAATCACTTAACCATCATGTGAGCTCTAGACTGAATTATGACATCACAAATCTTTTACAAACCTTCATTTCTCTACAGCCTGAAAAGCTTGAAATTTATTTACCTTAACCATACGAGCAAAATATTCACCACCAATATAGTTCTCAGTTTTCAAATACAAGTCTCTCAGCTCACTGGCACCAACTGGATTGTACTTGGAATTGAATTTGTCAAATCGATGAAATGTTTGGCGACCCTGGGGGAGGAAAAAATCCCAAATAACTATGGTTATAAGTACACACAATAGTTTATAAATTAAATTGCCTAGCAATAAAATGCACAGAAAAGAAAAAGCCTATGCTAGCTTGCTTCAAACTATGAAAGTAATGCATGAATTCAAATTATCTTAAATAAGTTATCATCTAAAAACTGAAGACACCAGAATTTTACACCAAGAAAACAGTTCTTCTCTTTTGTTGTTTTACTAGACTTACTGCATGAACATCTAAAGAGTCTACAGTGAGGTCATAAGGGTCCATGTGAAGGCTTTCGAAGATTTGCTTTAAAGTCATCTTCTTGCCTTTTTTCTCTGCAACAATCCTGTTGGGCTCAGTTTGATAAGTGTGCTTAATAAACCTCAACAAGTGTTTCTGGTTCATGCAGGCAGCAGCATGGATATGAGTATCAACCTGAAAGGAAAAGAAGGTTAGTCATGTTCATCATCCATATACAGAAAGTTAAATCAGCAAAGTATCTATGTCAGTGACAACAATGACTAAAGCCTTTTAAAATATTCCTTAAGTAACAAATAGATTAGTGCCTAAGCAAGTAAAAATGTTTCAGAACCATAAGATTTTGGGGTTTGATTAATCATTCAAATAAGCAAAATTAAAGTATCCCCCCATTAATTGTTTCCTATTTAAATCAGAACATTTTCAACAAGATGCATTTTAAGCGCCAAACAGAACCTGGGGTCAGATTAAATTTGGTATTTCCCTAAAGGACACTCTGATTCTTTAGTATCTTTCTATTTCACCCATGAATCGATGATGCATTTCTAGTTATAAACTGTAGTTAAAACCATCCTCTCTGACTTTGATAACCTTGAGTTCTCAGGTATTGCGAAAAGCAAAAGTAATTTTTGTATTTCAACCACATGAGATTCACCAGAACTGCAAAATGTATATAAAAGAAATTTTGTCATGTTTTTTTCCAAGTTTAATTGTAATACAGCAACTCATAATGCTGACAGATCTTTCATTTTCTTCAGATCTCCTCCTAAGGAAGTGCAGGCTCCACAGAAGGGCTGGGAGTACTCCTTCCATTATTTTTTTTTTAAACTGACAAGAACCAAATGGTTTTCACAGGTATACTTTTATTATTTTGCTCAGAAGCTTGCACTGCTGTTTGAGCAGCCTGTATTAAAACACCATCCAAAGAAAAAACTAATGACATCTGGGGGGTTGTTTGTTGATTTAAGTAATCCCTTGAGAGTGTGTAACTCCTGAGGTGCCTCCAGCAGGTATGTAAAATTAATCTGTTGCAGTTCCTTGCAGTCAAGGGTTTATTATCTTAACTACACCACTAAAGAATAGAAGAAAATCAGGTGTATTCTCCAACTTCTTCTCTTTTGAGGAGGCAGGTAATGCTAATTGCAGTTCCTAAGGACCAAGTACCTGAAAGGGAAGAACAGGGCCTAGCTAGCATAAGGGTGTTAAGGAATCTAGTAGCAAAGCAACAGAGTGTGTGGAGAAGCAGAGCTGCTGCTCCAGGGTCCATTTGCTTTCAATTTCCTTGAGAAATTCTGACTGAGCAACAAAAAGCCTGATGCGCATCCTAGGCAAAACAATGTCATTATACTACCAACAAATTCCTGTAAATTTAAAACCAAAACAAACAAATCACTGTTCTGATTAGATTTCACAGTTGACACATAATAAGTGCAAGCGCCCTGGGGACAGCCTGACTGACTTCAAGTCCAGACTGCCAAAACCTACCAGAAGCAGTTTCAGCTCACCCAGAAGCTGCAGTGCTGCAGCTTGTCTGCTAAGCTTCCCTTTTTCTCCAGCCCAGGCCCTACCTGGACACAGATGGCCATGAGCACAGGGATGCGGTCAGAAGCCACTGCCAAATTTCACTATTTCTAATATCTGCCTTGAGCACCAACTGCCTGGTACTGGAGACAAGGCTTCCAAGATCAGCTGGCAGAATGGTTCTGCAGGAGCAGGAAGCAATGCAATCAGTTTGTAATAGAAGTTTCAAGATTGATGTATAATAGGGACAGAATGGTTCAGATAATAAGCCTAATACTGTCTTACATATTTGGCAGGACATTGTTTAGAATCACTGTAAGTAACACTTTACCATGAAGCCTTATGTGAAACTGTAGTGGAAAGGGCTGCTCTAGATCCTCATACAGAGTAAGAAAGGAAATTCAAAGCAGAAATAAACACCAATCTTGCTTCTGCACAACACTGATAATGCAGCTGTCAGAATGCAATTAGTTTTGCTGTCTACATTTAAAGGTTTAAAAAAAAATAAAAATACTGACAATATTCCCAAGAAATGTCACAAAAGGAACTAGAAGCTGTAAACCCTACACTCTTAAGTGATTATAAAAATGAAATTTTTTTGGCTTTCAAGGTGAGATTTGAGAGTTAATTTGATCAACTCTGTACAGGTATTTGTACATTGAAAAAAGGCCATGAGGCAGAGAGGGGGCTTTTCAATCTCAACCAATGATGTAACAAGATCCAAAGGTTGGATGCTGCCATTAGGTACTTACTACATTGGAATAGTTTTAACCCACTGCACTGTGCTGTTTAAAATGCAAGTAACTAGCATTCCCAGGGACACACTCCCAACAAGAGCTGTGTGCAGGAAGTCAAACTAGAATTAATTTCCAGATAAACCAGCTATAAGGAGTCACTGAACCTACATCTTTGCAAGGACTCTCATCCTGGACTGCAAACATGGACACCTAAAGTGTGAGACCACTGTGTTCCCCTGTGCATGGTGACTATGTCTGCAGCTTTCATATTCCAACAGATGTAGCTGACATCCTGATCTGCTTTTAAGAACCAGGAGGAAACAGATCACAGAGCACCTCAGTAAGTAACAGCCATACTCCTGCAAGGTAAACTTCAGCTCATGCTATGACATATACCCACAGAAATGCCATTGTTTTACTTAGCACATGGAGTAATTTAATTTGCAGTTATACAGAAGCTGTTGCAGCCTTCTAAGGGTAAATCTGTCTTCATGTGAATGTTAATAGCATAACTAAAGACCAGGATATAAACTGAATCGTAAACATTAACATTTAATTGTTAATCACTCCTTAGTTCAAATGTGCTAGACTCTTTAAAGCTAAATGAAAAAGCAAGAAACATATTACTGTCTCAAAGTACACAACATGAAGTACATTACTAATGCACAGTAAGCAATACTGTGTCTAAAATAGTAAAAACCAGCTCCACTTAACATATTATTACACTCATCATAGTATTTGTATAGACATTTGAACCCAAGTGCACTACATATATGGTTACTCAGCTTAATAAATGTCTTCTGTTTTAGAAACAAATATTGTTTACTATGAACTCTTCATGGACCAGTGAAATACTATAAACTACTAGGCTTGGTCAACTTACACGGCAGAGCAAAACAACAAATTAATAGATACCCTGTAAGCTTTAAACATTCAGGAAAAGCAAGTCATAAACATAGAGATATAGGGAACCTAAATAAGTGTAATTTATTGAATTTCAGAATGCACTAGTTCCAGTGGTGACTCAGCTACTGCAATTAAAAGAGTCTTGAAAAAACCCCAAACAAACAAAACAATTCCTCTTTATTTAAATCAACATGAATTCACTACTGTTCAGAGGGCAAGGATGGAAAGCAAGGAGACATTTTGTTTCTTTTGTTTGCATGTATGCAAGGATCACATGACACAGTAGTAATCACATTTCTTCTAAAGTCCTGCTTCCCTTTGAGAAGTAATTGTCCTAAGTGTGCTTCTGCAATCCAGTAACTCCCATGAAATCTGTTCCAGTCCCCCCAAGCATATCACGTGTAGCTCTATAGCTGAGCTAACCACATCAGGCTTATTAACTTAGAACCAAGATTTTCCTTTTTTTTTTTTTTTTTCCCTGCCTCCTCCCTATATATGTATTTATTTTCCAAGAGTAAAAAAACTTCCTGGAGTCTTTTTAATGCTTTTTACAGAGACTATGCAGTGTTTTAGCACTACCTTTTTAAACTACCCGATGTATTTTGACCTTGAGGTAAGTAGCAACTTAGGAACAACAAAAGTATTCTACAATATCGCACAGCTTTTTCTTCATTGTTTTTTAGAAGCAATGCAATTTTTTGGAAGGTTGTAACAACTTGAGCTTTGATGTACCCTAGCACATAATTAATACATGTGCATGTTTCTGTGCATTTTCACAACTGAGGATGCATTCCTATCTTAAGTGAAGCACCTAAACAAAGAATCCTTAGACATGGCTTCTATGATCTGATTTGGTTAGGGATAATATTGTTGTTGTTATCAATGTTATCACACTAACAAATTGTTACTAATTTAATTTTTATTTATTATGAAAGGCATCCACTAAAAGAATTTGAACGCATATAAGGACGACAGATGACCCCTTTGCCTCTTCCGTTCCCCCCAAAAAAGACAAATGCTGTCTTTTTTTAAGGTGTTATTATTCAGTTTTTAAAAAAAATACATTAAGTAAGATGAGGCTTTTCTGGGACATAGGTGACAGGCCCCTACCATATGGTATATTTGCTTCTATTTGCAAACATTCTGTTTGTGTTTCCAAATTTAGAAATTTACAATACCACTCCAGCCCAGTTTCCCCTTGATGGAAAAAGCTTTGGCTACATGCCCTTAGCCAAATTTCCTGTAGCAATTCTTACTCTCCCCTCCCCCCAGGAGGAAAACTTTTACTCAAGGTCACATTAATCTTCAACTAAAAGAAGAAACACCATGACTAACAGAAGCCTATCTTAGAACAAGTAATACATCTTCAGTGAACCCACCTTTTTAACAAATGGGAGAAATGGTTAATACACGTTCCCTTCATTCCTTTAATTCTACCATCTCATTCAAGCAGTGGTGGACATCAGGTGTCTTGCAATTAAAGGATGGCAGAACTCCCTTCACTCAGCAGTTCTCAGTGCAGTGAAGTCAACAGGTTTTCCTCTGCACTTCCTCTGTTCAAACAAGCTTTTTCCCCTCCTTATTACCTGACCACCCACACCATTCTGCCTGCAGGCTTTGTGAATTACGTGCTTTTTCTTCTCAGTCAAGATGGTTACATCTGCCTGTAGCTTAGAGCTTGAAGGAGTTCCCATTGCCCTCCAAATCATGTCTCACCAGCACCAGCTTCCCTAAGTCACTCTGCCTCCCTCATCTTTCTGCATTGCTCCTTGTACCTTCCACTCTTTCTCAAACCTCCACAAAACATCTATCTCAGATCTATTTTATGGATGCTTATCTGTGTGTATCAGAAACAGTGTTGCACTGAATTAGGCATATGCTCTAGATTCAGAGTGTTAAGTGATAAATTCAGCAAAACAAATGCCCAAGGGCAGCACTTTTAATGATACTGAACTTTTCCAGTGCCTATATCAGTAGCATCCACAGCTGCAAACTAATTTTCTGAACACATGCACTTTAGCTCATAAATATGCCTACCCCAGTAGCTATGAGCTTCATGAACTTTACACTGAATCCCCTGCAGCCTTTACCTCAATATTGAATCGAAAGGAAATTATTCCACATCCCACTGCTGGACTCCCTGCTCACCAATACAGAATCACAGAATTATCAAGGTTGGAAAAGAACTTCAAGATCATCAAGGCCAACCATCTGCCCTGCTACCCCTACCACTAAACCATCTCCTGAAAATACAGCATCTACCTGTTTTTAGAACACCTCCAGGGACAGTGCCTCCACCACCTCCCTGGGCAGCCTGTTCCAATGCCTCACCACTCTTTCTGTGAAGAAATTTTTCCTAATATCTAATCTGAACCTCCTCTGGTGCAACTTGACCCCATTTCCTCTTGTCCTATTGCTGGTCATTAGGGAGAAGAGGCCAACACCCACTGATATTTTTTCATGTTTAGAAAATAACAAAGTTATTTGCAGTGAAAGACACCTGCCAGTGCAGCACACAGATACACTTCATAAAAGTAGCAAATACACTTTAGGTAAACAAATATTTTGGCTTCACCTTTAGAAAAAATTCTTCAATAGGCAACAACCTCCTTCCTAGCAAGAACAATAGAGAAAAAACAAAGTTCTAATAACAAGAACAGCTCCAAGAAAGCACAGTAACTATCTCCTGCAATTAGCAACATTTTGATACAAGAAAATAATACTCAGGTGTGGGTCCTTTAGTTTGAAGGTGTATTTCAGCTAAAAAAAAAACAACCAAGAACTATCAGCCATGAATTATCTGAGGCTCTTGGGCACAGGTATCTGTTCTGAAGATCCACATACAAAACGTAACATACTTGCTTTGGAAGGGAAGACACCTTCGTGCCAGAAGGGTAAAACTCCTGAATTTGTGTGCTGTAGAGCTAAACTCTCAGTACTTGATTTCATCCTTAATGCCAACAACTCCAGAGTCATGTGGAGAATCAGTGTTAACTGCACTTCACATTAGCTGGAGAACGGGGCAAAGCCCTGCTGATGACAGACTCAAGAGTCTTCTCTAAAGTTAGAGCTCTCCTACACAGACAGTTGTCCACCTCCTGTGGGAAGCCAAGTGGAGCCACATTGTCTTACCACCTGTGGATTCCTGTCTACATAAATACTCATCTGTTTACTAAAGGCCAATTTTCCAGTTCCAGCCTGATGAGTGCAAAACATACCTTTGGTTGCATTCTGGTAAAGTCCAATACATTGGACTTAAACATTTCCCTTATTTAATTGATTTATCTTGGGATTTATTAAATAGATGAGCTTACTGAAGGAGGAGAACTATTGAACCAGGAAAAAAAGAGAGGGAGGGGGAAGGGATATACTATGACCACAAAAAAAACCAACCAACCAAACAAACAAAAAAAACCCACCAGTAACCTTTGACTGTCATGCCAAAGAATAATGCTGGCCAGCTTTCTACTGTACCTTTCTAAATGCAGTAATACATGTTCACTGATTCACCTTGCCATTACATTCATAACTCTCTTAATTTTGGCATTTTCCATCAGTTACTTTGGCTTTTTTATATAAGAAAACAGATTGTACCAGGATCACCACACTAGCACCTGAGAGATGTAAGAAACAACTTCAATAAAAGCTTTTTTAGCAGCTGAATTTCAAATTACAGATCCAAACATTACTTAAGTTAGCAAGATATAGAAAAAATAAGATTATTTGAGGACTTAACGGAACTATATCTACAATGGCATTTACTTTCCATAGAGAGTGCTTCATAAGAATACTACTTGTAAGCTTGCTTCATAAAAATGCTACTTCAAGAAAGACTAACTCTGTGTTAAAGGAATAACTAGCAGTCGGAGCAGTCTCTGCCAGAGAAGAGCAAGCTTGTTCCTGCTCTCTTGAATGTGGGTATTGCCAGAGGGGAAGTGATGCATTTTGTGCTTTTGAACAACATGAATCCATTTGTAGACTGGCTTATTTAATAGTAGATAATTATAAAATAATTAAGATATGGCCAGAGACATAAAATGTTTGCTTTTAAATCAAAAGCTGAACTTAGCAAGCACAATCCTGTTAAGTACAGCTTCTCAGTAATCAAACTGATTGTCTAGGCAGTTACCTGATCCACACCTCTCTTTCACAACTCTCAGTCACTCTTTATTATTAACATCTGTCAGCTTGTAAAGTGTTTTACCTGAACGTGGCATGGAGTAAATATCTTATCCAGGGTTATGTGAGAAAACTCAGGAATCAGCTCTGCCACTTGAGTCCTGCTTGAGCAAATTAGCTAATAGATCCTCCCATCCATACACTTAACAGGTAAAAGTGTGAAATTACTTAGACTTTACCTAATAATTTATATCCTTCCAGCCTTGTGGCAGTCAGGGGTGCATTCATCAAGCACTTTTGTTTTAGCAGATTGTGTATTTACAGTTTATCACCACAACATTCAGTGGCCAGTACACTGGACACTACAGGGAAAAGCCCTAAGGACTTTTTGATGTACTAGCAAACCAAAATATAACACGAAGGATTCAAGTACTAATCTAAAACCTGAAGTTATAAAGTAAGGACAACCTCCTTCCAGCTGCATATAGAAACAACGCAAAGTGGACCTAAGCGCTCAACAACACCAGCCACAATTACTGCTTTGTGAAGAAATCCCACTTATCAAACTGAAGCATTATCTCTCCAGTAGCTTCCTCTTAACTTCACGGACAGAAAGCAGCAAAACACTGTTGCTTCCATGCTCTGAAGAGAATGCAGCTACCTCGGATGTGAATATGCCAGGAAATTGTATCAGCTCTGTGATTCCCCTACCAGTCTTCTAATTACATCCCAGTTTATCTCAGAGGCAACTAATAATATAACTCAAATAATCATCTTTACATTTAATATTTCACAGGCATCTTTACCAGATATAAACGGCAGCATGAACCCTCAGTTCAATTTCTGTGGGAGATCTTTTTTCTTTTGACATGTACTTAAACACGTGTCTTCAATATGAAGTGATAGTTTTATTCAAAACCTAGACAGCTGTTCCTACTACAGTCTAGTATGACTTACCTAGATGAAAGCAAGAAAATGCAATTGACTGTCTGAATATGAATTAATTTAAATTAATTAAAACTCCATGTGGATATTCTTATTCATAATCCAAGCAAGCTTCACTTGATTAACTTTTTCACTCCTTTAATGCAATCTATATACAATTAAGCCCCTTTGATTCTGAATAAGTAAACAGATAAGTTTAGCATAATCCATTTAACCCACCTACGTTCAAGTTAATTTTCCTGAAGTGTTCCCATATAGGAAAATTTCGATATTCTCAAAATAACAATTTAATTGGCTGGTATGCACACCCTACTTCATGTGTATCATCTACATCTCACAGACAAAAGCAAAATCACTGGAACTCCTACCAAAAACAATACATGCCTTTAACCCTTTTCACACTTACCTTTCTCACATTATAGAAGTCTCGATGGGGATTACTCTTTAGTTCTTTAAATTCTGACATTTCATTTAACATCTCATGCAAACTAAATTTCGATTCTAAAAAGTTAAGCCTCCGATGACAATATGTTTTTCTGTAAAAGAAAAGGCAAAAATTAATTGTAATTTACAATGGTTTCTGCTTCAAGTTCAGAATTAACCTCAAAGTAAAAACAAGTAATTTTTTTTATGAAGACCAAGACAAATCCATTCTTCTTATCCTACTGGTTAACCAATATACAAGTCAACATCCAGTATGTTTTCAGGCCAAAGGTATTAGTGAAGCCTCAAACAGAACTCTAAATAACTGTGTTATGTCCTCTAAGTTGTCAAGATATTGTTATCACCATATCTGTGCATAAACTGCAGTTCTTTTAGTAATGAGGACCAGATAAACCATAAAACCTATGACAAAAGGTGATGTCAATTGCTACTACTCTGAAAATATAACTCCAGTAGAAGAGATCACTTTATATATAAAAGAATCAACCTCTAATCCAGACATACTCACTATGGAAGTTTGTTTTTTTTTTATTCCCTGAAGTTTATTTGCTTTTTCAATGCAAATATAAGCAGCCAAAATAAGATCCAATATACTTTCATTTCTTATGCCTTAAAAACACATCCTGTGTAGGAATACTTTTTTTTCTAAAATAATTTCTTCTGCTTTTCTTAGAAAGGACACACTTTTTTGTTCCTGCTTGCTTTACTCCTGTCTTCACTGTCATCTTCTGTTATGTTTCTTATTCTATTTTTAACCAATGACATGTTTTTTTCTCTTCACCATCTGTTAATTCTTAGCAAATCTACAATACTCTGTAGCATTATTAATGTAATAGCTTTCTTTTTTTCTGTTTTATTGTTGACAATCTCTCCTCAATGGAACACAAATCCCATAATGGATTTGAAAGTCCAAACACAGTCTCACTGTATCTGATACTGATCAAGACCTCTTTGCCCATTGCAGGAAGTGTTTGTTGGGTTATGCTATTATTCAAGAAACTGGAGGACTGAGGAGTAGGGGTTAGGTTCCACCAGTAAGCACATTGAAGATTAAAGAACAGTGGGTTCCTGATGTCAAAGCAGCCCCATGTGTGATAGACCTAACTGACAGGAAACCACTTGCTGCAAATAAGGAAACAGTATCATATGAAGAGCTTATGCAACAGGATTACTGAAAATAATTTTTCCTTTTGGTTTGTGTGCATTACCAGGGACTGTGAATCAGCCTGCAAAAGCTTACTATGAAGAAGTGAAAGGAACAGATCAGAGAATGCTTTGGGCTGGAAGGGACCTTTCAAGGTCACCTAATCCAACTCCCCCGCCTTAGCCAGGGACACCTTCCACTAGACCAGGTTGCTCAGAGCCTGATCCAGCCTGGTCTTGAACACTTCTAGGAACTGCTCAAACAAGCAGCATACTCAGGCTAGCTTTGATTTGCAGGAGGAGCACTGGTAATGCTGGTGGAAGGACTGGCTGCTGCTCTTAGGAAAATGCTTTAGGAAATGGGACAGTTCTGTTCAGCCCATTCACTATCAATGCACAAGGCAGACATGCTGCAGGTGTCACACTGTAAATTATGATTTCTCTGGCAGTCAGGGCAAATAGTTCAGAAGAAGAGTCCAGATTCCTGCTCTGCACCATCCTAGTGTGGATCCTTCTCCTTCCCTAGTGTTGGGACCAGGAGAAACCTTGATGTTTCAAATCCTCAGCTGGGAAGTAAACTTAAACCTGGAGGCACATGCTTTCATTATGCATTGGGAAGAGACACTTTTGTCATGAGTGTGTCAGTGACTGTACTAGAGTTGTTTTATTACTAGTTTTTAGAGATTTGATCATTCTGGGAAATTTTAGATCTATTTTGAGTATTTATGTAGCTGAGCTATTCTGTATACTCTACATGTGCAGGATTTCTCTTCATGTAGCAAGAGTCGAGCAAAGCTGAAGGAATTCCAGAAAACTGTTCAAAAACCTCAAATTCAGCATAGGCCAAAACAAAATAAGAAAGGTGAAGTTCAAGTTTCAGTTCCCATGCCTCGTTTAAGTCAGATCTTATTTGACTGGGAATATTTGGCCAATTTCTTGCTCTTCTGTTAACTGCTTCTCATTTTGCCATTAAATATAGGTGTATGTGGTTGTTCTTTTAAGTCTTTGTGTGATCAATAATGCTTCAAAAGTGCAAAATAAAACATTACTGTAGAATGAGTACATTAAGGAATTAAATATCACAAAAGCCAGAAGTACTAAACTAAAGGCAGCAGCCTGAAGGGGCAGAGAAGCAAGAGAAACATACGTTGGACCATCTGCAATTAGAGCAAGAACATGACTCAGGTCAAGGGTATAGGTCTCCAGGTCAGGATATGGCAGACTCCGAGGCTCATTGAGTTCCATCATTTCTTTGTTATCATAAACAAAAGGAATGCCACCTTTTATCTTGATAACATAATCCAAATTGTCTGGAGCATCTTCAAGATTGTAAGGATCTTCATTTTCTTCTGGGGGTGAATGGAAATCTGGAAAAAAATTTACATTACATTTAGAATTAACTTACACAAAAGGCAAAACAATTACAAAAAGAACTTTCTGCCTCTGTAATACTTCATTTCTAACAAATCTTAATACTTTCATTAAAATCACATTTTTGGTTATTATAAAAGACCTGTTGTTACAAGACAGCTTTATTCTGACAGACTTTAACTGCACTCCCCCTCTAAGCTAAGCACCTACCTTAATGCAAATATTATACATTATTAAAGTTCTCTGACCTAATGTATTAATAGATTTAATACTATTCTTTATTAATGTATGATGCCACAAGTTTCAAAATAAGTTTCCAGAAGTATTTAAATTAGGATGGTTGAAAGTCCTGAACAGTAAAGTAAGTTTTTAACAGTTGAGAGTTCTGAACAATGAAGCAGTTGTTGATCTCATACCCACCTTCATTATTTTCTCTTTACCTTCTGACTCACTATAGTAATTCTGGAAGTTTGTATTTAAGCCCACAGTAACACAGCTGTTCTCAGATTGAAACATCAGTCAGAAAAGAACGGGCTGTGCCTTTTTCACCTCTGCCCTTCCCACAACCCAATGAGCTCAACTAGTGCACACACACTAGGACTGTTTCCTCTTTCTCTGAATCACTGAATACACTTCACTCATGGTACAACACAAAATAATTTAAGACTCAGTATTTATCACTCTGACCAAGGTACTAGTTACTTGTAGCCCTTCGGGGGCAGGGGGTGGGGGGTTGTTTGGTTTTGTTGTGTTTCGATTGAGGGGAGTTTTTTGTTTGTTTGCATTTTGTTGGCTTTTTAAAAAAAGCCAACTTCTCTGCACTGAGAAGTGCAGAAGCCAGAGGCAGTAATCACACAACTCTCGTTTTCCCCTTGGCCTTCTGATCACAACCAATATCAAAATGCACCAGAAGCACAGTTGGGATTTGTTCAGTAGAGTTTTGCAATCCTTTTACAAAATTATAATTATTTTTTTCTGAGAATCAAGTAAACACGTATTTCTGCGAGATTCCCCTTATGTGAACACTATTATCACTCATAATTGTGATAAATATTCACAGCTTCTTCTACAATATCTTATCAATGCAACTAGCACAAATTAAGTGTCTCAACTACATTTATGTCAACTGAACCACATTCTTTAGCTGAGTCTTATCACTGAGATTTATTTTTCTGCCCATTGAGTTAAGCCAAGATAGAAAAGTAATTAACCAGTCCTTTTATTAACCTAGAGCACCTGAATGTATGTTACAAACTGATATCACTCTTATCTCTAATATTCCTAACTATCCAGCTCAAACTTGTGCTAATGAAGACATGGGGTAATGAGTTTCTATTGTTTATGTTGTAAGTGTAAAATCCTAATTATAAAAGTTATTAGAATTGATAATAGCTTGGAAATATCTCCCTAGCAGCTGCGGCAAAACATCTTTCCTCTCCTGAACATTCAGTAAGCATACTGTCCTCATTACAGTCTTTGTGTATAATAAATGCTTGAAAACATGTTAATTCACCCTCTTTCAACCACTGAGGGAGAGGGTAATTGATTTAAAATGTCGCTGAGAGTGGCTGAGAATACACTGCCAACAATACAGCCACATACACAGCAGCACATTTAATGCACAAGTAAAGCTTTCAAGACATGACCCACCAAAAAGACAAATATAATTTGTGATACATATAGTGGGGAATATGTTCAACCTAGTAAGTCCTGTTGAGAGAACAGTTTATTAACCTAGGCAGAATGCCCAACAAGTATGACTACATAACTTCCAGTCTTGACCTGGTAAGTGTACCATGCCTGGGAAATTACTGACTCAGGGCTTGTTAACTAGCACATCTCAATTTACAATGTAGATGAGCTCATAATCCCTTTTATTTCAGTGTGCCAACATCAGCAGGA